AAATATAAGAAAAATATTTTCCATTGAATTTAAATGAATATTAACGGCGTACAAGGAATTCTAGCTTAACCTTCTTCTCGAGCTTGAAGGAAGTGTAAAGTTTCTTGAGAACTTTAAAAGAACATAATAGATGAAAATGGAAGAAAGAACTTAAATTAAAAGTAAAACAACAAGTAAAAGTTGGAAAGACAAATAAATAACAACTAAAGAAGAACTCCAATGAACTCTAACGCCAATGATACAAAGCTAAAGCTAAGAATGAAGCAAGTGAGGAAAACCGGAATTGTGAACTGCTGGGGGAGAGGCTCCCTTTTAAAGACCTTCAAAGAGGTTGAACTTCACAACAAAATAGAAGGGAATGAGTTGAGATTGTTCAAACAAACTCTTCTTGGCTTGGACTGATTTTGATCCACTTAAACATATATGAATTGACTCTTTTGTCCTTCATTAAGTGAAACACACGTTTTGGAGGGTTTGACCACCCAAATTACGCTAGGCGCAATTCCTAAAAAACCGAAAACTGTGATTTTCTCCAACTTTGACCACGTTTTTCTTACATTTTTCTCAAAATACTATATATTGCAAATTATCTAGAAATGTTCTATGCATGTTCTACTTTAAAAATAGGTAAGCCTTTTTAGCTAAAATTGATGGGAAATGGTCCGCTTTTATGGTCAAATAGGCCTATCGAGTCACATTTCTCCAGCAAAAAGTCAACCCTAGCACACCCCCAAATTTAGCGATTTACTTGTCTTCAAGCAAAAACAACAACAACAAATCAAAAACAATCAACATGCTAGAAAGATGAATGATCAACAATCCAAAGATTCTAAATATTCATCTCAAGAAGGACTCCAAAGCTAAACCTCCTAACTTTAATCTCAAGCCAACATTCCATAAACCATTATTGTGTTGAAAATAAAAATGATTCTAATCTCCTTATTTTCTAAAACAAAACACTTTTTACAAAACCAAGGAATATGCACACTTTCGTTTTGATTCAAAAGTTTACATAAAGAAGACACGTGGACCGGCTACTAGCCCCTAAGGTTCTCCACTCACTAACATCGCGATTTCCAACCACAACCACTCATAGAAACTTTTTAGGTAGCAACCCAGCATAAAATGATGTCGACAATGGCCGATTTCACAAAGTTACCTTAATATGTAGGCTACTACCCTCCAAGATGCTAATGCCACCCATTTAAAGATAAATTAGCGTCTACAGTGGGACTTTCAAAAAAGTAAGTCAATTTTCTTGTCGCTCATGTTTCTTACGACTTTTGTCTTTCTCTCACTTTTATTTTTCTTTTCTTTCCCTCACTCTTATTTTCACCCAAAACTCTTTTTTTACTTGATTTTTCTTATTTATCTTGGACACTTTTTTTATTTTTTTCCGTGAATATGACTATTTTTTGAATAAAACTCTTTTTTATTGCTTGCATTTTCTTTCTGACTTTTCTTCGAGACATAAAAAACGTGTTCTTTCTAAAACAAAAAGACAGAAAATGGCCCTACAGGCTAACCAGCACGAAGTCAACCCCCACTTGTTGAATTTCCCTCTTCATCAAGCGAAAAGCAGCAAATCCACGGAAGTGAGATTCCATAAGCTCTTATCGAACCAAATCAAGGGAACTCTTGACGGTCGCAAAAGTAGTGGCGTGGTCGGATCGCAACTGCTACAGTGAAGACTTGAGGCTGGCGACCTGAGCAGATGCTCGCCCCACGGATTCTAGAGCTGTGCCTCGGCCTCTTTGGACTGGATGAGGTCGAACTCTGCCAGGACGTGTCGTTCCTTTGCCTTGAGAATGCTATCCTCAGCCTCCGAGAGATGCAAT